CTGGGCCTTCTAAGGGAAAGAGGCAGTTTTGACTATTTGCAGGGGGGCACCAAGGCAGTTGCCATGGAAACCCCCCTATCAATAAAGTTTGTGTTCGGCAACCGTTTATCTGCCTTCCATGGGGAATTGTCACAAATAACCTTGGACTGCTGGGTCCTCAACACCATTTCCAAGGGCTACACGTTGCAGTTCAGTTCACCTCCACCAAACCACCCCTTATCCCTGGTGGGCTCGGGGGAGATTGTAGGGAGCTCTGGAGCAGGGGAGGCAGTGGGGGAGGGGAGTTGTCTGGCACGAAGGGGGGGCTCTCTGGAGAGGTGTGACAGGGGCACAGGGACCGTTGGGGATCTCTCAGGGGGGTAGAGGGTTGTATGGGTCTCTGTGGGGCCGGGGGGGAATGATGGACAGAGCCAGCCACACCCCTGGTCTGCTCTGCAGGGGGCTGTTGCTATAGCCCCCTCAGGAAGCTCCCTCTGTACTGTGTATTTTATGCCAGCCCCGGGGTGTCCATCACTGCTCCTTTCCCCCCACCCACGGCTCCATCTGTCTGGCCCCACAACTCCCCGACTGTGTCTGTGTGTCTCTGACAGTGACTGAGGCTCTCTCTGTCTGCAGCTCCCTCCCCGTTCCTGCTGTGGAGGCATGGCCAGGCAGCTCTGGCGTCGGTCCCTGCAGCTCCCATTGGCCAGGGTTCCCGGCCAATGGGCTGCGAGCCGGATCAGCGCTGGGGCCTCTCCGCAGCATGCAGCGACTCCGGGGACGGGGGAAGCTGCTTGTGGGGAGGCAGGGGAGCTGCCCCCGAGGTGAGAGCGCCCCACGTTGCCGTCCCATGGCACAGGGTCCCCTGAAGCTCGGGGCCTGGGGCCCAAACATTGGTGGAGCTGGGCCCACCTTCATAAATATTGATGGAGAATGGGCACCATGGGCCCATATAATTCGCTGCCTATAGTTCTTCAAGACGTGTGGTCCCTGTCTGGATTCCAATTGCAAGTGTGCATGTGTGCCATGCGCCGGAGCCGGTACTGTTCATAGTACTGTCCGTTGACCTGCATGTGCATTGTGTGTCGACCTCGTGTTGTGTCCGAGGTGTTAAGAAGCTATGTGGGTCAACGCTGCTCCAGTTCCCTCTAACGCTGCAGTAGTGAGGGAAGTGGAGGGGATGAAGGGTGAATATAGAATCCAGATAGGGAGCATACATCCCGAAGAACCTTCAGTTACAGTAAGCAACTTTCTCTTCTTCTTTGAGTGATGGTTCCTATGTGGATTCCAATCGTGGAAGAGTAGCAAGCAGTAATCAGCGTGGAGGCAGGTGCGAGGGCTCAACAGTAGTTAGTGTGCAAAACTGCTTGCCCAATGGCAATGTCTGTCAATGCAGCTGGGACAATAGCATAATGCTTGGCAAAAGTGTGGACAGAGGACCAGGTGGCCGCATAACAGATGTCCTACCATGGAACGTCTGCGAGGAGGCCCGACGTAGTGTCTTGAGCTTGCGTGGAATGAGCCATGACCCCAGATGGCGCGGGAACATCGGAGAGAGTGTAGCAGTCAGAAATATAGCAGCAGAGTGTGAGAGGGTGCAACAAAGAGCCAGTCATCGAGGTAGAGAAAAAGGGAATGACCCAGACGGCGCATATAGGCTGCAATGATGGCGAAGACCTAGGTAAATACCTTGGGTGCCGTAGCGATGTCAAAGGGGAGGACCTTTAATTGGTAATGAGAATCACCTACGACGAAGCGAAGAAATGTGCAGTGGGTGGAATGAATGTCGATATGAAAATAGGCATCCTTTATATCAAGATCCGCGAACCAGGCTCCTTTGAGGAGACACAGAAGTATCAGGGGGAGTGTAACCATCTGGAAGCGGAACTTGCGGATAAATTAGTTGAGCAATCCGAGGTCCAGGATAGGGCAAATGCCACCCCCTTTCTTCGGTATGAGGCAATAGGGGGACTAAAAACAATGGCCGCGATAGCGGTGTGAGACTGGCTCTATAGCACCCTTTGCAGAAGGGCATTTGCTTCCTGGTGGAAGAAGTGATATTGGGAGGGGTCCAAAGTGCAACCACTGGAAGAGTGGCGGTGAGGAAAGGAAGAAACTCTGAGGTAGCCCCGGCGGACAATATCCAACACCCCGATTGGTGGTAATTGAGGCCCAGGAGTGAGCAAAAAGGGTAAGGCGGCTGCCAAAGATGACATGGGGCGTAGTCGGTGGGTTGGAGGAAAGTTTGCAGTTCTCTGTACAGGAGTCAAAAGTTTTGACTAGGGGTGCGATGGGCAAACATGGAGGCAGCTGAGATAGAAGCTGAAAATTGTCACAGACGCTGGGAGCATGGTCGGCGACGAGGGTGTTCGGGTTGGTGCTGAGGGTAAGGCTGGTAAGCCTTGTAGGTGGTTTGGCGAGGGCAGGAGGAAGACAAGTTTTGACAATGTGTGGAGTCCGGGGTGTAGAGGCCTAGGGAGTGGCAGGTGGCTCTAGAGCCCTTGAGGGAGTGAAGGGATTCATCTGTTTTATCACTGAATAGTTTGTTGTTGTCGAAGGGAAGATCCTGCAAAGTTGTTTGGACCTCCATCTGACAACTGCTTGACTGAAGCCATGAGTCACCATGAAGTACCACCCCCGGGGGCCAGTGACTGGGAAGCGGTGTTGGCAGCATCCACTCTGCCCTCATCAACTAGAAATTGGAATTCCTGCTGCTTATCTGGGAGGAGGAATTCAATTAATTGGGCCAGTGTTGCGTGTGAGTGGGAATCAGACTTGGCCAGTATGGCTTCGTAACTGGTAATGCAGAATTGTCTTCCTGCTGAGGAATAGACTTTATGCCCAATAAGGTCAAGTTTTTTGGCTGCACGATCCAGTGGGGTAGAGCGGAGGTGGTGGTGTTGGGCGTGCTCCATGGCCACTTGGACTACCAAGGAGTTACGGAGTGGGTGTTGGAAAAGGAAGTCCATACCCTTGATTGGCACAAAGTAGCAACGTTCCACTGTTTTCAGGGTAGGTGTACATGATGCCAGCTGGAGAATGACATTAGGGATGGGCAGGGCATTGCGAGTGGAGCCTGAAGGCTGAAGGATATCCAGGAATTGATCCTGAGGGTCCTGGATGTCCTCTGTGGGCAGATTGTGACCATTGGCCATGCATCGCAAGAAGGCTTGATATTAGACATGGTCATCTGTAGGAGAGCGGGTGGGGAGGGTATGAGAGTATCATCCAGGATGGAGGAGGCACTGGTGTTGACCGATGGTGCCAGCACTTCCAGAGGCGCCATTGGTGCGGGCAGGTCCAGTGGAATGGAGGCATCCGCAGGAGGGTAATAGGTTGCAGTAGTCGACAGAGAACGTTGGTGATGCATCCACCATTGGTATGGGTCCCAAGCTGCCCAATAGGGCCAGGCGTATGGGTCGCTTGGAACCGATGGTTCCCTTGGATAGGTGAACCAAGGATCTGCAAAGTGCCCATAAGGTGAAGGATAGGGTGGTCCTCTAGTATCCAGGCTGTATGAGCGGACAGGAGAGAAAGGCAGTTCCACCTCGGAGGACCAGTCCAAGCCCAAAGATGGTTCCAGCAGAGGCAGAGCCATCGGAGCAGTGCGTTGGAGAGCCCACAAACAGCTGTGGGTGTTAATGGGGACAGGCATCCTAGTGTGCGCAGGGCCGGGAGGGAGACCCCAACGGTCCTGGCAGAGTGGACGGTGACGGTGGTGAAGGCTGAAGTGCCGCCTGGTCAAAGTTGTCATTGCAGGAACAGGGTGCCAAGACTTATGCTCCAAGCGGGACTTCTTAACTGGAGGACCTCCTCTTCTGCGCGCAACTTTTCACCTGTCCTGGCACAGCTCAGGGAGGAAACGCTGTCCTTCGGAGCAGTCCCCATCGGGGATCTGCCCTTGTGTCCATGCGAGTGCTTCTTATGAGCATGGTGCTTTGAAGGATGTGGAGGTGCCACTGGTGCTGGGTAGGATGGGCCTGGAGCAGAACTGACCGCCAGGCGGAATGGCAGTCCTTTGGTGCCGGTTCCTATGGAGGGCGTGGATGCATAGCACCCTCCCTTAGGAATTTGCGGAGATGAAGCTCACAAGCTTCCTGAGTTCTAGGCGGGAAGGAGCAGCAGATGGAGAAGCATGTAGCTACGTGAGCTTCACCCAGACAGTATAGGCACCTTCGGTGTTCTGGGAATTCCTACAGCTAATTCTTAACTAAACTAACAACTACGAGGTAAGGGAAAATGAAGATGGATAACTACTCTATAACTAACTATATACAATATACCATCGAAGACTGTAATTTTTGAAAGAATAGCAATGAAGATAGAGAAATGAGGGTTCTGACTATGGCAGCGGTAAAAGGGAACTGGAGTGTCGTCGACCCGCACAGCTTCTTAAAGCCTTGGACGCGCCATGCGTTGGATGCACATGCGAATCAACAGACACGAATATGAACAGCTCCGGCGCATGGCACGCATGCCCATCCGTGATTGGAATCCACATAGGGACCATCACTCGAAGAAGAACTTATAGCACAGTTTCAGAGTTATAAAGTACTAGTAACATTATTAGTTTAAGCAATGCTACCAAAGAAAGCAGGGCTACCGAGGGGTACACATGTCCCTGTGAAGTTACTGCCCAGTTGCTCATACTGGAACTCTGATGGTAACATTGAAAAGAGGAGCTTGCATCCCCATTGTCTTCAGCTTGCATATAAACTATTTTAACAAAGGGAACAGCAATCCCTGTTTTCCCCTCATCTTGTGCTCTGTATCAATAAAATGCTGTCGTCACTCCACTATAAAATCTACTCTGCTAACAGCATCCGCTGTCTAGTTCCAGTGTACTTTTATGTCCAATCGTCTGTTTATTTAGATGGTAAGCGCTGCAGGTAAATGGCCATGTCTTTGTTATGACCAGCTGAACATGTTGTCACCACTCAAGTGATAAAAAATAATGTGTCAAATTATTATTACTGTGAAAATATGAAAATCTCTTTCTGGTTGTTTTTTCTGTGTTTCAGGTGAAGTTCAGTATAAAAACTTATACAAAATTCCTCTGAGTAACCTGGCTGGGAGGAGCATTGAACGACCGCTGAAGTCACCATTAGTCCCCAAGGCCATCATCACCTCAACGTCTAGTGTTACTGCCTCAGCTCCTGTCAGTCACTCATTATCTTTGTCTCGTATGGAAATTAAAGAAATTGCAAGCAGGACACGCAAAGAACTGCTGGGTAAAGACTCTTGATTGATACAATCAATTCCCAATTATACTACCTGGAGTCTCTGTCACCCATTTAGATTTCTGGAGTGACATATATCAGAAAATATTACAAAAATAAAATGTCAGCTGGTGAAAAAACAGCCTCGTTGTGAAAAGGCTACATGCTTTAAAGAAAACATAAAATACTTTGGTAATCTGGTGTCTGATTAGCTAATGCACACAATAGGTCTGTACTCTAACCCAGTCATAACGTAGCCAATGTCTGAAGCCAGTGAAGGGTATTATATCTATAACAGCCCCATGAATGTTTAATCTCTTTTCTGAAAACTAAGTCTTTTATTCCTTTATTGAGGCCTCTTGGATGAGAAAGTTCCCAAATCAGAAGTAGCACAGAAGCAAAAGAAGGTTCCTCGAAAACCATCAGACCACAAGCAGGGAGCAATAAGGTCAACAAGCAGTGACAGGTAAAGAGGAGGATTTAAAAAAAATCACACTAAATTACAGGGCAAAATCCTTGGGTCCTGACCCTCAGTGGGGCTGCTGGGTTGTACTGTAATACTAATGATGATTTTAAACTATAAACCGTTTAAAAAAATTGCCCATAACACTGCCCCGGTAGTGTCAGAACTGGGACCAGTAATAATTTTGGCGAAGGATTGTCAATATTTTCATATAATCTTTGGTTTCTAGGTGTGTATAGCCTTTTTGAATTATATCTGGCTGTATACCTAGGAACCAAATCATGGACCTATGAACAAAACCAGACTAAATGGGCCTTGATAAGGTAACCATGTTTGGGCCTCCCTCAGAAGGATTTTGGCAAACAGATTTGCAGATTATGGATTCACTGGTGTGACAGTGTCAGGCCAGACAGCTACAGGAGAGTGCAGGAAGGAAGGTATTAGCCTCAGGATAAGCAGGTCCCTCTTCCCCTGGTAACTGAGCAGGGGTTACTCCAGGTTAATTAGGACACCTGGAGTCAATTAAAAACCTGCCAGAATGGGTTAAAAGCCTTCCCCCACTGCCACTCAGGGGGGTGATAGGTGTTGTGAGAGTGAAGGCGAGCTGAGCGGTGCGGAAGCTGACAAGGACCAGGGAGAACTCCACAGGTATAGAGATTGGAGAGAAACCCTACCCTAAGCAGGAGCTAAGGACCCTTCCAGGGCCAAAGACCTGAAAAAAAGGACCCTGCCAGAGGGGAGAGACTGAGCCGTGCGTTTGGTGTGGTGCTGCCATGCCCAGAAGGATTACCAGAGACTAGGGGCTCTCCCTACCCCGGCAGGACAGTCGGGCGGAACCCTGCCCAAGCAAAGTGTGGACAATAAGCCAAAGGGGGGTGGGGAAGTAACCCAGGAAAGCTAGCAGATTTCCTGGAAACTGGAGTGTGAGGCTGCTACTTGTTGGGTCCCTAGGTTGGGGCCCGGAGTAGAGGGTGGGACCAGCGCCCCCCCCCCCCTTTCCTCTCACTGGATGTCCACCGAGGAGGCCAGAAGCCCCAGTGAAGCAGTGAGGGCTTAGTAGGCCCAGAAATGGGAAGGCCGTTTGGAGACAGAATTTCCCCACCCACCATAAACTGAGTGGGGGGGATTCTGAGAGAGGAGACGCTATCCTGACCCACCGCTAGAAAGAAGCGCGGAACCTCACCAAGGTGGAGAAGAAGCCCTGTTCCCTCTTTTCAACAGTCCTTGCTGCGTATATAGAATTTCTCTAAACTGCCTCCCCCTCAGCCCTCCTGCTCCCTGCAATACTCAGTGCACTATGGAATCTACACTTGAGAAGAGAAAAGGCAGGATTTGGCCCAGACATGACAGACTGGTGATTTTTTTCATTAACACAATTTTAAATTACAGAGAATAAAAGTAAATTGATTTAAATATTTTGACTAGAAATGACAATATAAAATATTTATTTAAGATGCCATCCATGAACAATAACTGCTAGGGATATTTGATTGTCTGTAAACTTGATATTTGTGTGCATTTTCTATTGTCCAGGTTGGTGGGAATATGAGAGAATACTCTGAAAAATCAGAGTTAAAAAGAGAGGGGTCAGACTATTCCGAGGTCATAGATCTATCTTCAAACTAACCTGGTTGCACCCAGGGATAACTGTTCATTTGCTTCTTGCTTTGATGTAAGTGTTTTCACAGAGATTTTGCCTTCCTTCCTGCAGGATAATTTCAAGCTCTTTTGAAAGCAGTTCTGAAGGGCGTCACCTTTCCACTAGTTCAGATCCTGATACTGCAGCAAACCGGGAGGAGAGCCCACCATCTAGCAGTCCATTTCATCTCACTACTTCATTTGATGAAGACATCATTGACTTGAAGTGAAGACAATCTTGAGTCCCTTATTTTCTCCTTTTTCTTTTCTTATGACTCTGAAGGCCTTATAGCAATGTCACAACACTGCTTTTAGTGATAACATATGGCTGGAAATAGAGTATATTGGTGAATATTCTCTACAGAACCCAACTGGGTGAAGCTTTTTTGCCATCTTCATGTTTACCTTTCTCAGTTAAAGAACCAGTGGTTTGTATTGTAGCAAGGTGGTAGATATCAATGGTCGTTTTAGGATGATAATTTTAAGTAAATAAAAGGATTCATTTTTATTCTCTCTGAACTTATGTTTGGAGTACGTGAATGAGAGTAACACTTAGCTGTGTTATTTGCAGCCGCTGATATTACAAATTGTTCCATAGCACAGTGTGTCATGTAGAAAGATGATCTTTATAAAGAAAATTAATTTATTCCAATTTTTTTAAAAGATAAAAACAAACTTGTGACAAAGTTCTTTTCAGCCAGGATCATCTGTCCCTGAAGTGGTACCGTTCTATTATAATGTTTACTGAAGAACCAAGGATATTCTATGAAGATCAGGTAAGATAAAACATAAATTTCTAACAGTGAGAGTAAATTACAGAGAATAAAGTGAATGTTTTTCTAAAAGTTCTGCTCTAGGAATTATTTTGTGTAAGTTAAATGGCCTGTGTTATACAGGAGGTCAGACTAGATGATCACAATGGTCCCTTCAGGCCTTGGAATCTCTGAATAAGATACAAATATGCTTTCTTAGCTTTCATCTTTCCACGTATATTTTTTCTGAGAGGGACCCGAAAACATGATTTGGAGTAAAAATTCCAGAATGTGGAGAATTTTGTAGAAAAATATGAACTTTCAAATTATTCCTCTAAAAATTGAAAATCAAAGATAAAGGAAGAAAGAGATGATCAGCTAACAAAGCAACTGGAATATTATCCCTGTTATGTATCTGCAGACTTCTTGAAAACACAGTATGTAGGAGCCAGCATCTGATTTTGCATTCCATTTTCTATCAGTGTTTTGACTTGCAGATGAACCTCCTGTTAACATGCAGGCATCTGTATTTGTTGCTATTTGCTTGTGCATTAACTGTTTAAATGATAAAATTTTAGACTGCTCCAAATAGCTACATTTTGCTGAGTGAATCCAGGCTGAAATTTCACTGAACAGCTAGGTTTTTGTGGTGAAATAGTAACAATAAACCTTTTGATGTATGAAGGACAGATTTCACCTACAAAATTATTCTTGAGACCTTTCCTGCATTTTCTGTATGCCAAAAAATCAATTTGCAACAAAAATCAAAATGTTTTGCTTTTTCATGAAAATGTGATGTTTTCCTCCTTTTTTACTTTAAGATGTTAGCTCTGTTTACAAATTATTTCTTAGAAATAGTTCAGCGTCTTCATTATTTTAGGGATGGCATGCTGGTGTCATAGTTTGTTTCCTTCTTAGCATGAACAAATGAAAACTTGTGTCTTTTAAATGAGTGTATCTGAATATAATCCAGTTTCCTGTCTAGTACTCTATTACTAACCTTTTACTAGTATAGGTAGCTGCTAATTGCTCCCACCAAGAAAATATTAATTAACTTCATTTAAAGGATCATTTTTTATTCTCAGCTGTAACAGCTGATCAAGGAAAGAAGCAATATTTTCAGCTGCAATCATTCTTTCATTAGAAGAAAGTATTCTAACCAGTGATTAGTATTACTGTATTTTTAAACCAGTAAATCTGTGTGTTGTAATTCTAAGAAAAAGCATGTAAGCTGAAATTGTTTGCCAGAGATTTCAACTCTTGTGAGAAAGCACTCCACAATCACTAGAAAGAACTTATACACCCTATATCATTTACCAGTTCAGTTCTGGTTGAAAAATGAAGCTGAAAGATGCCAAGGGTGGCACTTACTTTTGATGGAGTCTGGGGCCTGTTCTGTGTGTGAAAGACAGTATTTCTTTATACAACTATATTCAGGGCAGACCATGTTATCATGCAAGTGAACATGTATGGGGGCTCATTGCACCCGCTTTAGGAGCACTAATTGCACTAACATCTCATCCTGAAAGAAACAATAGTCTTTTCTTTCCCTTTCTGTATCCTCAGCCTTGTTCCATTATGTTGCTTCTGTTGTGTTAGTTGTATGTGCATATGCTCATGGGTTTTTTGGAGCCCATACTCATGTTGCAAACTCAGGCTTTAGTTAAAATAAAATTTAACTGGAAATTTTGTTTTGGTTTGTCAAAATATCAAATTGTAAATTGAAATAGCTCATGGAACTGTTCTCTTCTGATATTCTAGCAGACTCCACGCAACTCAGCATATAAAAATTAGCATTGGCTAGAGCCTGAAGCTGCTGAGGGAGCTAAAAGGGCATATTGAAGGAACTTAGCAAAGAGCTGCATAATCAGTAGGGCTGTCAAGTGATTAAAAAAATTAATTGCAATTAATCATGTGATTAAAAAAATTAATCGTGCAATTAATCGCACGATTAAACAATAATAGAATACCATTTATTTAAATATTTTTGGATTTTTTTACATTTTCAAATATATTGATTTCAATTACAACACAGAATACAAAGTGTACAGTGCTCATTTTATATTTATTTTTATTACAAACATTTGCACTGTAAAAAAACAAGAAAATATTTTTAAATCACCTAATACAAGTAATCTAGTGCAGTCTCTTTATCGTGAAAGTTGAACTTACAAATGTAGAATTATGTACAAAAAAACTGGATTCAAAAATAAAACAATGTAAAATGTTAGAACCTGTAAGTTTCTTATTTACAATGTCACTTGAAAGTGAGACCAGGCGTTTGCATGGCACTGTTATAGCCGGCATCGCAAGATATTTACGTGCCAGATGCGCTAAAGATTTATATGTCCCTTCATGCTTCAGCCACCATTCCAGGGGACATGTGTCAATGCTGATGGCGGATTCTGTTCGATAACAATCCAAAGCAGTGCGGACTGATGCATGTTCATTTTCATTATTTGAGTCAGATGCCACCAGCAGAAGGTTGATTTTGTTTTTTGATCATTTGGGTTCTGTAGTTTCCACATCAGAGTGTTGCTCTTTTAAGACTTCTGAAAGCAAGCTCCACACCTTGTCCCACTCAGATTTTGGAAGGCACTTCAGATTCTTAAACCTCAGGTCGAGTGCTGTAGCTATCTTTAAAAATCTCACATTGGTACCTTCTTTGCGTTTTGTCAAATCCATAGTGAAAGTGTTCTTAAAATGAACATATGCTGGGTCATCGTCCGAGGCTGTTCTAATATGAAATATATGGCAGAATGCGGGTAAAACAGAGCAAGGGACATACAATTCTCCCCCAAGGAGTTTAGTCACAAATTTAATGACTACATTATTTTTTTAATGAGTCATCAGCATGGAAGCATGTCCTCTGGAATGGTGGCTGAAGCATGAAGGGGAATTGAGCTCTGGTCAAGTGAAAAATTCTCTAAGTTATATCTGGCACGTAAATACCTTGCAATGCTATCTACAAAAGTGCCATGCAAATGCCTGTTCTCACTTTCTGATGGCATTGTAAATAAGAAGAGGGCATCAGTATCTACTGTAAATGTAAACAAACTTGTTTGTCTTAGTGATTGATTGAACAAGAAGTAGGACTGAGTGAACTTGTAGGCTCTGAAGTTTTACATTATTTTGTTTTTGAGTGAAGTTATGTAACAAAAACAATCTACATTTGTAAATTGCACTTTCACGACAAAGAGATTGCACTATAGTACTTGTATGAGGTGAATTGAAAAATACTATTTCTTTTGTGTATGATTTTTACAGTGCAAATATTTGTAATAAAAATAATATACACTTTGATTTCAATTACAACACAATACAATATATATGAAAAGGTAGAAAAACATGCAAAATATTTAATAAATTTCAATTGGCATTCTATTGTTTAACAGTGTGATTAAAACTGCGATTGAGATTAATTTTTTAGTTAATCGTGTGAGTTAACTGCGATTAATTGACAACCCTAATAATCAGTCAGGAAAGGCCTCAGGAATGGAGAAATGAGAGAAGTTGGCAGGAGCTGAGTATATGATATACAGGAAAGCTCAGAGGCACATATTTATGGTTACCTCTGTAGCAGTGGGACTGTAAGAAATTATTCTAGTCAGATACTCAGGAAAACAGCCCTTTTCTGTGAGCCTAATCACAGTAGCAACAACACATTTTCCAAGCTATATCTATCTAATCTTCATAGAATTCTGAAGTCCATCAGTAATGGCAGCATCAGGTGACTCCCAGATAATATCACCAAGCAAGATAAGAAGGGCTGAGAGGAGCACAGACAGAAGTTGGATATTGAAGGAGACAAATACTGGCAATAAGGTGCAGATTTTTAATAGTTATGGTAATTAACTGATCAAACAACCTACTGAGGGATGTGGTGGCTTCTCCATCACTTGGTGGCTTTAAATTAAGATTGGACATATTTCTAAAAGATATGCTCTAGCTTCACCAGAAGTTATTGAGTTTGATGCAGGAATCATTTGGTGAAATTCTATAGCTTGTGTTATTCAGGAAGTCATAATAGTCTTTTCTGCCCTTAAAAATCTATGAATTGTATAATTCTGATAGCACCAGATCACAAGAAAATGACCTGCATTTGTCCAGGAAATGTGGACTGAGTGCCCTAACAAGTATCTCTTGTCTATAATTTCTGTGATTCAGTGATTAATCAGTATGTCTTGGCAAATGTAGGGAGAACAGCAAAATAGCCAAGGGGAGCCGAAAAAGGGCTGGTGGGATCAGATAGGCTGTGTGGGGCACAGAATGTGTATCCACATATCCAGGAGAGGGAGAGAGAGAGTGTGTGTGTGTGTGTGTGTGCGCGCGCGCAAGAGCACACACGGGAATATGGGGGAGAGAAGAGTCAGAGAGGAGGTCATAGTGTAAAATACAGTAGTTATAATGTCAAATAGTTGGCTGTCCATAGCCAGTATCCTAGATCCTTCCCAATCAGATTACAGGCCAGTATTTGAAATAGAAATAGTATTGGAGATGCTGATGGATGATCTCTTGCCCCGCATGGATAAATGGCAAATGTCCATACACATAGGATACTCTGCTGCCTGAGAGAGGTATCAGGGGCTCCAGAGAAATGAAAATGGCTTCTTTGAGGGATGTAGTGATGGGCAACTGCACTTGTGCCACCTGGATCCTCACTTATGAAGTTTTCTCCCTTTGCCTTTTTAGTTGCTGAGAATTTGCAAGATGTTTTGAGTGCAAATTTTAGCACTATACAACTAAGCCAACTCCTCCTGCCTGTCACAACCTGAGACCCAGCTATCTCAGTGCCTGGCCAAGACCAGCACATGAATGAGAAAAAGCTGGTTGAAATTACAACCGAGCAAGACTGGGATTATGCTGGTAGGTAGAGGGGAACAATTGAAAAACCAAAGCACTGTCTCCATCAGTGGAGGCATGCCCTGTGTAGCTCAAAAGCTTGTCTCGCTCACCAACAAAAGTTGGTCCAATAAAAGATATTACCTCACCCACCTTGTCTCTCAAATGATCAAGACAGATCACAGCTGAAGGGCTCTTCCAGGCTCCTCGCTGATGCTGAACTCTCCCTTGAGTATCTGCAAGAAACTTACTTTGCCCCCTGGGACTGGCAATGGGACTACAGCACATCCTGGCTGATAGAATTAGCCTTGCTCATACACATAGTCCTTACTACTTCACTTGTTTTATAGGAATATAACTTACATGAGTTGAAAGCACAAAGCCTGAAAAAAATATAGTTGGTCAGAATACAGCTGTGTCTTACCTCAGCAGCCTGGGTTACTGAGAGCAAATTGTTACTGCATTCCACTTACTCCACAGGCTCCCTATAGAATGTTGAGTCATATTTAAGGACAGCTACTTAAGGGACCTTGACTACCCTTGTCAGCTCTGCTCCTCAGGAACAATGGAACTATGCCCACCTCATGGAGCAAGCTCCTGTGTGATGAGGCAGGCCTTTCCCACGGCTGGCCAAAGAATTTGTGCCTTACTTCTGGGGGAATTTTGCACCACTACAATGCAGAATTTTGCAGAAATTAATGTTGGGCGTACAGAATTTCCTCCCCTCCCCCACCCCCAGAAATGGGCAGCAGAGATATTGGCCACCACTAGACCCCGTAGAGCCCAGCTCACAAATAGAAGACAAGGCTGGGGGGTGAGGGGAAAAAACTGGAGGGTTCCCAGCAGCTGCAGTGCCCAGCATGTCCTGAAAGAAGGAGGTTGGGGGTGCACAGGAAACTCAGAATCGAGCTGTTTTCCCCTCTGGATCCCTGGACTCTAGGAGGGTGGGGTCTGTCAGTGTCTAGGCGGGGAGGAGGGCCCCACAGCTGGCCTCTGAGGGGGTAGGAGGTGTGAGTGTCTGGGCTTGGGGGGGGCAGCTGGGCTCTGGAGGGGGGAATGGGTTTGAGTGTCTGGGCTGGGGGCCCCAGGCTGTAGTTGGTCTTTGGGGGGCAGGAAGTGTGAGTGTCTGGCACCTCTGCTGGGCTTTGGGGGGAGAGGGGAAGAGAAGCAGGAACTGGGTTGTCGTAGGGGTTTCTTTAACTCTCTACTCCTGTGGGATTTTTTGTGTGTGTCTGTATTATTACAGACATACCTGCTGACAGGTATTATGAAATAAATTACCAAAATAATTGAAAGTGGTGTGATTATATAGTATTATTTTGAAACATAAAATGTGAAGAATTTTGCATAATTTTAAAACATTGTGCATAGAATTTTTAATTTTTTGCTGCAGAATTCCTTCAGGAGTAGTGCCTGCAGGAACTTTAGAATGGTGACACTTTACCACTTTGGAAGCCAAATGAAAATTCACTTCTGTCCTGTAGCGTTCTTTCGTGGCAACTCACGTTGTCTTTAAATTAATATAAAACAAAGCCAAAAAAAAAAAAAACTGTGGGGAATGAAGGCCAACATTTGTTTTTAAACTTTGAAAAGGGGGGGGGGGGGAGACAAATACCAGCATGCTGGAAATAGTGCAAGAACCTAAGTAGAATGCAGTACATGTATAGTCAACCGTTGTCGCTCCATGTGGGGTGAGGGACTTGAAGTTTTGCTTCTCACAACTTACAGAGACTCCGTACCTCTACAGAGACTAGGGATAAATGTGTTTGTTATTAGAGAGAGAGAGAGAGAGAGTGTGAGTGAGTGAGTGAATATATTATAGGGTGACCAGACAGCAAATGTGAAAAATCAGGACAGGTGGTGGTGGGGTAATAGGCGCCTATATAAGAAAAAGACTCAAAAATCGGGACTGTCCCTATAAAATCAGGACATCTGCTCACCCTAATATAATAGCTGAAAGCTTATGTTACCACATGATTATAGCACTTGGGCCAAGTAATCCTCCATCTATGTAAGCTCCCTCATACAACCAGTGAAACTGTTGCATGCAAAATTAGCTATAAAAGCAGTGATTGGTCAATTTACCTCTGATACCATAATGGTCTAGGACTCCTGACACAGCATAGATACATGTTTTACTATAGTTGTACCCAGCATGGATGTAATTTGTAAAGTCGAACACCCTGCTAATACGACTGATGACTGAACCTGGTGATATTCTGAACAAAAAGAGCCCTCAACCATGCTTGTAGCTGATTTCATCGCTTCATACTGACTCGGCCAGTCTGATGTCAGCTTTTTTTTTTAGAGAGTTCTGCCTTAGGGCAGGGTGTGTTATACATGGCGTTACGAACTCTCAAGGGCAGGATTTGCCCACCTTGCTGTTCCAAGTGCATGTTCCCTGGATTTATGTCAGCCTATAGTCTGCCTTTTGGGTAACTGTAATGTCCTCTTAAATTGTTGTAGCCCCATTGGTCCCAGTATAGTAGAGACACAAGGTGGCTGAGGTAATATCTTTTATTGGACCAACTTGAAGTTACTACCTCACCTACCTTGGTTCTCTAAGGCCCTCTCAAGTCCATCATTGAGGTCAGGTATGCTTGGCCATTCTAAAGACTTGCGCTGCCTTGCTAATTATTCCCTTTCAGTAGCATGAAGCAAAATGCTTCTAAAGAGCAACACGATCTTTTGATAGCTTGTAGCTCACTAGTCTGCCTCATGCCATACTGGGCACAATCATTTGGCTGGAATACATTTTGGAAAACACACTCAAGTTTATTAACACTGTTCATCAACAGCCAAGTTTAGACTCCTCCTTATAAGACAGGAAATTAAAAATCGTGTGTTGGCACATACATTTATAATGATATTTAAAGGATATTCCTTTCCCCGTTCATTGTGTTACATCATATTTGTAGCTTTCTGTGAGAATGAACAAGAAATTGAGAATGAATAGTGCTGTGATTTGGTGTGGTAGTTTATACACCCAGCGTTTGCCACTTTAGCTAAAGAGAACTTTTCTCATGCCCTTCTGGTGTTGGTGAATAAGCTCTTATGGATTTTGTTTTGTGATTGAATAAATTCGACCTTGAGACATTTGGATTTCATTTCTAAGATGCAGGAAATTCTGGTGTTTGAGTCGGCAGCAAATGTCTTTACTAGCAGCCAGGTTACTAAATGTATTTTTAGTATAGTATAATGCATGTCTGCTTTGCCCTAGTCCTACTAGTGACATTCAAATGACCAACGGCAGCCTTTGTTTATCTGTGTAAATGTGAATTCATGACAATACTACGAGCCTTGAGGAAAAAAGAAAACAGGAATATTTTTGCACATGTATTTACTGCCTCTTATTTAAGTATTTATCTAGTTGAAAGGAAGAAGTTAGGATTCTAAGGTTTGTACAAAGCAGTTTGTGTCAACCCTGATTTTTGTTTTATTGAAGTGTTTGAATGTTAGCAGTGGGTTATGTACCTCAATGATTATGTACTGTTAGACTGTTGCTGAACCTTTGTGATCTAAAAATTAACTACCACCAAGTGTCTTAAAATCTATTGTATTGCCACTGTTTTTAATTGCAAGTAATGTATATGTACCATGTTTTGAATGTAGCCTGTAAAGAAAGGGAACCATTACTATAATAACTAAAGCTGTTTTAAGTGCAATAGGCCATTGTTGTGAAGGAGCAGCAGGTACTTTTTTGTTCATTGAGATGTAATAAATATTTATAAAATTTGACATGAGCCTGTTGTTTCTTTGGTATTTACTAATGAATCATTAGACCAATGAAGCACTGAACAGTGCTTTTCTTTCCTTTCCAAAGGTGGTAGTTTCTCCAAGTTCTGACTCATGTTGTTCATTCTTCTGTAGTCTGGAAGGAGTGGTGCTATTCTCATAAGGGGCAGCTTTGGGTCACTGTTTTCCCTGTTTAAATGTTTCTGGGATTTTTTCTCTTAAGAGATGTTATTAGTTACTTCATACGAGAAGACATGTATCAGCAGGGTTTGAACAGAAGCCCTTCCTGCCTTGAAGGACTTCTAAAGTAATAATCTTTATTCTCCCCCACCTATTCACTGGAAGGGTTCTGCACAGGGAGATGTCTCTGCCTTGGCACCCCTCATTCCCAGACTCAGGGACGCGTGCGTGTGTAAGTCTTATTTCAGATAGTCTGCGTAAACTCATTCATATTTTGCATTAGTCAAGTTCTGTTTCCATTTCTCCTGTCACATTGTTTACAGAGTTGCTCCTTTCTGTTTGTATCATGCTTCTGTTTTCATTTCTAGTTTGTGGCCACAAATACTATATTTGGTAATTTTGCTTGGTTTTGCACATTTTACTGACTCTGCTAATGTACAGTTCTTTGCGGAGAGCTGCAGTTGTAGGGTTTGCTGACGGATTTGATCCCTTTGTGATATGGATGTTTTCTCCTTTTATTGCTAGCGGAAACCAACTTTCTGGCCCACCCAGCAATTGGCTGTACTGCTAAAGAATTTCCAATCCAGTCTTACTTCCCTATCAAGTCTCTAACTCACTGATTTTTATTTTAGTCACACACTGAACATTCATAGCATCCTGCTACATGTGTACAGCTCTGACTCCAGTCTCACTCAGCCAGCATTTTCTTATTTTCAGGAATGATTTAGCAGGCCTTCAGCCTGACCCTCCTCTCAGTTACTCCTGATTTGTACCAGTCTAATGCCCTTGAAGTCAGTAACTACACTGGTGTTAATGAAAGGAGACCTGGGCCCTTTACCTTTTAATTAAGTTACTCACGGAAAATACGTGCCTGTTCGCCCATGCTTTTCCAGGTGCGGGTAAAGGAACATTGCCCATTGCGACACATTTGAGCTCTTAGATGCAGGTTGGTTTGGAAGGTCTCCAAAGGCTGTGTTTTTAAGACCTGTTTAAGATGGATTTAGTGTGCTGGGTTAATATGTGTTTTTAAAATTAGGAAAAGTGCTTGAAATAGAAAATTGATGCATACATTTTATATATTAGACTGACTCTAGAGTAATGCTGCAATGTGTGTTTAACACTATATAACAACCTGAATGCTTCCTTGAGGTGGAATCCTGAACTATGGGAAAGGGACTATGTCTACCGCAGTTTGTACAGTGCCAATGGTGCCCTAATAACTAATGTAATAGAAATAGTAACTTTTGAGTGAAGGGTTGCTAACAGGCTTATAAAGGTGAAATTTGTAGATAGCTACATACAGCCTTGACATGCTGCTGAGACGGTTATAGTATTATTTGTATTGCCATAGCAAATGGAAACGTGTACTTTTATTTCTGGGAAATAGTTAAACAGAGATGTGGCCAGCTTATCTGCCTGGATCTGCAATAGGGCCTGTCCCCTTACTCACTATTCAGCCATAGTTCTCCCCCCCCCCCCCCCAGGTCTTAAATTTCTCTCTGCCCATGTATAGTAGGGGCCTGCATATGCAACATTTGTTTGCAACTTAAGTATATGAACATTCTGTGCCTTCAATGCTTTCATGGTTTCAGAAAGAAAAGTAGATTTCTGCTCAGCCAGGGACTGGATGTTTGTTTAAAAGGAAGGGGTGAAATTAAATGAGTCTGTTTGAAGTAGAGGCTGACAGGTGCAATGCACCTGATCTTTGAAGGCATTTCTGTGTAGCAGTCAAGTGGGAAGCTCTGGTATTATAGATTTGGCACAGTAGCCTTGTGCCTGATGACCTCATTCAAGGCAAAGAAAGATACTGAATTACCTTCTGTGCCATTAGGTCCTCTCTGCCTCTGCTCTCCATGGTGTGAACAAGATACAGGCAGAACCTACTGCCTGAGACCACTGCAACTTTTTTTTTATCTAGCAGAAAATTGGTAGAGATGGCATTGTTTGAGCACAGGACATGGAGGGCTGAGGTCTACTCCTGGCTTGAACACAGATTCACTGTGAGACAGTGAACAAGTCCAGTAACATTTCTGTGCCTCCAGTTTTCCCATTTATAAAATAAGTATCAGACCTGAGAATTTTTTACTTTATACCACAGTCATCCAGCCATATCAGCTATTCCCCACCTGGAGCAAAAGTGTCACTAGTGCTACTTCTGTGTCCCTCTATCTAGCTCCTCTGTTCTGTCCCACCAATGAGTAAAGGCCTCTTCAGTGTCATTGCTATCTGGCTGTTTATCTCAGGCTTTTATAAGACTGTTTACAGAGTTAAGTCACTCTGACAGAGTCTACTTATATGTACCTCTGATTAGAGAAATTGATTGTTTCTTAACATCTAGTTGTGTAATCTGGACACTACTACAAAACAATATTTTCTTTGTGCTTTCCCAGAATGACAGGAGACTCTTATGTCCTCCTTTTGAAAAGTAGTGAAATGGTCATCTAATGGAAATATCTCCTGTCACTGTCAACTAAGATTGTTTTACATTGACAAATTTCTTTAAGGTAGTTACGTTCTTGTAAAAAGTGTTCAGTAAGCTACTTAGACAATCAATATAGTAAATGTTATGGAAGCAGAACAGAGTATAAACAGCAGCTGATAAGAAAGTACTACATCAAGTAACTTAAATGTGTATAGTTCAAGTAGCATAAGTTTAAGTAGCATCAATGCTGGGTGGGGCTAGTCTTGATTATAGGGTTCAATGGCCAACTGTATTGCGATGGAAGTCTCCCACACAAGAGAAGTAAATATTTTGTAAATACAGGCACAGTCTCATAACTGAACAGCTGATTAAGGTATCTGAATGTTACAGTGCCATTCTGATGTATAGTAAATATTTTTTTCCAAGGCCCAGAAGCTTTTTCAGCAGTTTGGCAAACTGAGCAGAAGCAACGCACCTTCCGTTGTCTGGTCAAATGATAGCACCTCTGAAGATATTCATTTGAAATTTTAAAATGCTCTATTTTAGCCTGCTTTTCCCACAAGATTACAGCTAAATATGATATATTTCCCTGAGGTGCTCAAACCCCCTCCTGACATTAGGGCTCTTGGAGGGTGTTCAGCAATTTAGCAAGCATACAAACATCTGAAGAGGGCTGATGGCTAGTGCATTAGTTGCAGGACTTGTACTCACCAATGGCCTGGACTTTGTTCAGTCAGGCCACTACCCATACAAGCACAGGTGAAGACAGTGGAAGAATCAAAATAGGGTATGAAGTTAATGCAGTTCAGGCAATAGTAGGTTTCATTTGTACTACATACACTGTGCTAAACACTGGGCCAGGGAAGAGGGGATTCCTTCCAATCCCTAGCACAAAGGACTGGCTCATGCAATAAGAGACAGAATGAACAGCATACCAGCTAATCTATTAAAAGCAGTTATTCAGCCTTCATAACTGATCTACAGTAGGTAAAGGGAACATTGGAAAGAGAAAGACAGTGACAGCCCAAATGAAGCTCCAAGGCCTGGGAAAAGGAGAGAATAACTCATGTATCAGAGTGAATGAGCACCACCTGCTGCTTTGTATACCTGAAAGAAGCTGAATGCATACATGCATATGAGAACAATGTTTTGGTTCTCCACAGTGCAATTCAGATTTTTGCCAAAGTTAACAAAATTGATTAGAAGTTGATTTAAACCATGTTTAACCACATCATGAATTCAGGTGCAGCCTACTAACCCAGAGGATGTTCCTTGGAAAAGTTTAGGCAATAACACTAACAGTAACCTAATAGGAAAACTTTCCTACAGGGAAAGAACCTCAGGTCACAGGTGATCTTCGGAAGTGAGCCTCTATTTGTTCCAATGTCCTTCCTTTTGTTTCAGGCACATACAGGACAGTAAAAATTACATTTAGAATACAGAAGACAGAGAAAAGCCAGAAAGTGCCATAGGAAGTCAGGAAGCCCTGAAAGAAAAAAAATTATTATTATGAGAAAACACAAAGCTGCATAGGACTACTTGCAATACCTCATTACCAGGGAAGAGCATAGCTTAGTGATTTGCCAACAGTATTGTTGATCAACTTTCACCATGAATCAGAAGGGGTAAGGCTCATAATTAGGGTTACACGGTGCTTACTGTAAGATCATGAAATTCCTTGGTTATTAAAAAAGCCATCAACCAGTTTGTTAAGACACAGGCACCGCTGGAAATCCCTCTAGCTTTAAGTGGGAATATTTCAGACATCACCAGCCAAGGAATGGGACCCCAACCAAGGGCAAAACCTGAAATTGAAAATAAAGGTGAAAAGTAAACTTGTTTTGCATTTAAAGAAGCAAGTGGTGAATGATGCCAAAGCCTGTTCTGTGATAAGTGTTAATTCTACCCCAACTCTAACTACTGTCCTGTCAGACTGCTGTAGAGGGAACATTTCACTTAGAAAGCAGTACTGAAGTGCATACTCCAAAACTGGTATATACTTGTTGCAACACTACCCAAAAATTATTAACCCCACCATCTGATAACACGCTTCGATAAATGAGAGGGGTTTTTTTGTTACCTCTCTCTGAAGTGGAGGTTTCTTCAAAACTAAATCTACATTTTTAACTTCAGTTGCCCTGCACTAACCTAAAAGTTACCTCACTTTGACTGGTGCAGGAAGAAAAAATGCTTCTGGTTACTGGTTGTGAACACAGTTTAAAATAGATATATAGATCGATCGATCTAAGAATGTGGTCCAGGCTGATTAATCCATATCCTACACCCTTTCAGGAGTCCCTGCTGAGTGTAGTACAGACTGCAGGAGCAGAACCTTACAGCTTGATCCCCAAAAAGTGTTATGCTTTCACAACTCTTAGCTGAGTCAACAGAGGTCACAGGTGATCAGTACTATTTTAAGGCCATACTCAAGAACTTCTGAGGTACACAGTACTCCTGTCTCAAGTGCTTTTATAGTTGCGGACAATTTTTTTTGCATAGCCCAGGACTACAATGGCAGACCACTCACCAGTGATGAACAGCCCCAAGCTCACTACAGCCAACCATGCTAGGTTGTTTTCTGCTCCTACAGATGTTGAATTTAGTGTAGTCAATAAGTCAGGTTGTGATGAATTCTGAGGGTTTGGAAGGATCACTTTACAGTACAGCCCAAATGCTGCAGTGCTGATAGCCATAATGACCCCTGCAAAAGTGAAGAAGAACCAACTGCAGATTTATTGCCACTTTGAAAAGATTTGTATCCGAGAGACCAGAATTGGTAAATTAAATACAAAAAACCCCCCAAGCCTCTTATGGAAGTTCCTCACATCTGTGCTTTGCCCACAATGATTGTATAAGAATAGCATCCTTAGAAACTACCTCTGGAACTATTTGGTACAGGATGACTCAAGTGAGAGATCACCAAAAATAAATAAAATAGAATAGTATCTAGAATTACAATAACCTCAGCAATCACTGAATATACATACAATTACAGGATTCAAATATACTGTATACATATATGCATGTTAGAGTAAATTAATCCTGCTTGATATAATTAATACTACCAAACCTACTTGTGAAATAGGTACAAGTAAACAAGAAGTGTTCACTAGTTTCAGAAGACAATGGTACTTAAAGAAAGAAAGAACTCTCCAGTGCAATGTATAAGTTGTGATCAACTTTTCTTCTAAATCACCAGACTAAGTTTACAGAAGTGAAGTTTTAAAATAAACCACTTCATTGCATAATTACAAACCTTCATGCAGCAGGCAAGCTAGGATATTTTTGGTATTACAAACAATATTGTTCTTAAAGGAGGACATTTACCAACAGAAACTATCTTTAAGCTTTTGCATATCTGACCCAAGTTTGGAATGTTAAAATGCAGGCAAGTTTTTGCAGGATGAAAGACACTTTTGTCATTGTCCCAGCCTTTAAATAAAAGGCCTCACAAAGAGTTTAGAAACTCATTGTACTGCTTCTGGAGTTTACATTCTCAGTTATTAATTGGCAACATGGAAGCAGGATTCCTACAATGTAGGATACACAGTGGCAACATAAGGGCACAAAGCAGAGACAAAAAGATGCAGGACACTGGAGAAGTCTGGACCTAGGTCTTTAACTCCTTCAGTCACATTCTCCAAAGAGACAGATTCTTAAGTATGGTTTGGAAAAGACAAAATAGTGTCTAGATGTTCCCTCATCCATTCACGTTGATTCAAACCAGCCATCTCATATGTATTTTATATTTTAAGATATAGATTTTTTTTTTACCTGAAATAGAAAGCAGTACTTTTCGCCCAGTTTTATCTATAATAAGTGCAGCCACAGCTGTGAAAAACACTTGTATGGAACCCACAACAACAGAGGCCATTCTGCTGTCCTGAAAGTAAGAGAAAAAAGAAATCTGTAGTAACAATGTCATGGTGTTCAGTAAGTGATTAGGATTTTCCAGTAATGCTACAGGTAGAAAAGAAATAGCATATTTTGTATTGCTATTTTGTATGCAGTATTGATCTCTTGGTCTCATCTCTGTATTAACTAATATACTGTGCTTCTGCACAATACCTTTCATATGAGGATCTCAAAATGCTTTTCAAGCATTAAGCCTCACCAGGTAAGTTACTCCTGGGGGGGATTCTGCACCACAAAATTAAAAAAATTCTACAATTCTCTTTTACAGTTAAAATACAGCTTGCAGAGCCCACACAACCCCTCACCCCATTCTCTGCCTACCAGACTGATGGGGGGGGGGGAGGGGGGAAGAGAGCTCAGGGCTTCTCCCCTGTGGAGGGGTGGTGGGGTTAAGGGCTTCTTCTCCCCAGCAGGGATGGGAGTCTTGGGGTTTCAACCCCATGGGGTGCGCCCGCCAGAGCTCGGTGCTTCATCTGAAGCCCAGAGGCCCCCCTCCCTACAGGGCAGAAGCCCTTAGCCCCACCACTCCGCCGTGGGGTTGAAGCCCCAAGCACTGGCAGGCAGACCCCAGCTCTTGAACGTCTGAAGATCATCATGTGCGCTCAGAGGGTCAGTAAGTTTGGCCATCACTACTGTAGATCATCCTGCTACCATAAGGTTCTGAATGGCCATACTGTGCGGATGAGAAGTTCCTAGGTAGCCATGGATTATAACATTATGGCTCCATTACATGACTTTGGTAAAGTCAGAAGCAACTAACAGGAATGTCAAGGATAGAACCCCAGATGTCCAACTCACAACCACTGCTCTTATTAATATACATGAAGGCTCAATTTTATTCATTTCATTCAGAAAACTAACACAAGATTGTTATTAGCAGCTGATTCTCTCACAAGCCTCTGTCACTGCTATACCTGTGGATGACCTGGAGATTATGCAAGAAACACAAGGGAAATTGAGGCAGTAGAGGATGAAGGCAGGAAAGGGGAAAAAGAAAAAAAAACAACAAATATTTTTAAATAGTTTGATTCTAACATGCAGAGCATATCTTGGTCAGTTAAACTGAAAACTGACACCAGACAGAAGCACTTCGCATGATGCATTAACTTAAAAATAGCATTTAATTATGACTAGTAAAATGTCCTGATCTTTCTGTAGAGATCCACTCCAGCAATTATTCCTCTCCCTTGCTGTACTTTAGCTTTCACCTGACACAGCAATTTTACTTCCTCTGAAGCACACAATAGTAACCATGGTGAGAGAGATTCTGCGTGGACCTATGACCAAGTGGGCTTTGGCACCTTATACTACATTTCCTGGAAATGGAGGCAAAGTTGCTGACCAGCAGTCTAATATATATTATTTTCCTTGAAGAAACTTAATAAAACTAACCAACAAGGACAGTCAGATGCCTGCATACAAACAAAACCACAGAGACTTAACATTTTTCCATCACTCCAACAGATTCACCAAATTCATATATGGTTTCTGTTTGGTACTCTGTACTCAAGTGTAACATCTGGCTAAACTGCATTTATCTATTATATTTTAGAAAGATGAAGTGAACAATTTTTACCTTAAAATTAGCTTCTTCAAAGATAGTTTCTGCATAAAACATAATTGCATTAATCCCTGTTACTTGCTGGAAGAACATCAGTGCCACACCAATAAGAAATGGCTTGTAGATAGATGGATTCTTAAATTCAGCAACACTTAGTCTGTGCTATAAAGAAGACATAGGCAAAGGTTCAGTGACAATTATTTGATTTGCATAACTGAATGAAGAAGTGCTACCACCGAGATTCAGATCTATCATAAGACCATATTGTGATGCTGCATATAGGAAAGGTGGCCATTTATATTACTGTTAACACTGTTATACAATTTCCATAAATCTTGTACAAAGAATGTCATGTAAGGTAGCAAATAACTTTTCCATTGATAAGTATGATTATCCTGTTTATAAGCATGGATCATCTTTGTATCTGAAGTTATGACTATTGGCTACGTGTTGTAGTCTGCTAAATAACTGCCTAGCCCTGATGTAAATCTGTGTGCTGAGGGCCCATCAGGGACACTCCATTCTCCCAATGGGCCATTGAAGAAACTCATCCTGTCCAGATAGCATTTTTGAGGATGCCTCAGATAGCAAGGAGCTAATGGCCACCCCCTGTGATGCAGCAAAACATGTAGGAGCTTGTGATACGCTTATGTGACCCTGGACTCCATCTTGGGACAGTAGCTTTCACATACAGGGGCTGTGGACTTTGTTTGATATAGTAAATTTCCATGTACATGAAGGAGAATATAAAGACACCTCCATTTTGCTTCTTTCCTGCTCTAATTCTCTGAACTATAGATTTACAACAAAAAGAAAAACATCTTGAACTATGGACTGAGGACCTTCCAATCTTTTAGAAGTCACCAGAGAGACTTTACAAGACAGCAGTCTGTTCCATCACTGCTACAAACCTGATATAAGGACTTTGCAACCATTAGTATGTAAATAACCTATTAACCATTTATAACTCTTCTTTTCTTAATAAATCTTTAGTTGCTAAGGATTGGCTGACAGTGTGATATTTGGGGAAGATCTGAAATTCATATTGACCTGGGGATGTGTGTCTCTGATCCTTTGGGGTTAGAAAGAACCTCAAATAAGGTGAAACGGGTTTTCAATAACCTCTTGCTATATTAGACTTGGTTGTCTGGATTGGAGCCAGGAGCTAGAATGCCTAAAGGGTACGGTGTTTGGCTTCTGGCTAGCCAGTCTGGTACTGCAGAAGCTCTTTTGTTACCGGTTTGGTGAATCTAATTAGAGTGTAAACCACCAGCTTTGGTGATTGCAAGAAATAGGGCAGTCAGCCCCGAGCAGGACATTGTCAGTGTGGTCTATCCCAGGCACTTGGTCACACACAAACAGAGCAAGTCCCCCATTTAAGTAATCTATTAAACTGGTATAATGAATGTGATTGTTATGTTTGGAACAACTTGAGAACTCGCAGTACTTAAATAATGCTGATTTCTTCTACCCTTAGTTCCCATTACTATAACTGAACCATAGTATTTGGACATCTGAGGGAGCAACATTTGAAGCCACAGCAGGGAATTTAGAAAAACCAGGCATCAATTTCCTTTGAAGTCTCTGCCTTCCCCTCCTACTGCCCCATCATCCAGCCCTCACAAGATACCCAAATCCACAAACCCCTTTGTAAAACATGAGAGATTTATTGGTATTCACTTTCTACAAATATCTGAGTCCAAACTATAAAAAGACCTGTTTAGTAGTTTGGTCAATATGGTCTCTACAACAAATTGAGGGGGCTAATCTGTGCTCTTATTTATGAGACAAAGTGGGCAAGATCTTTTATTGTACCAACTTCTGTTGGTGAGGTAGACAAACTTTGGAGCTATGCAGAGCTCTTTAAGATCTGGGAAAGGTACTCAGTGTTACTAAATATAAGATCAAACAAATAGTACATATTTAAGGGATCATTCCAGGTGAAATAGGACAAAAAAAAGGGGGGGGGTGAGTGGGTTACTGATTGTTTAATTAGCTATAAATCCAGTAAAAACAACGAGGAGTCCTTGTGGCACCTTAGAGACTAACAAATTAATTTGGGCATAAGCTTTTGTGGGCTAGAACCCACTTCATCAGATGCATGGAGTGGAAAATACAGGAGCAGGTATAAATACATGAAAGGATGGGGGTTGTCTTACCAAGTGTGAGGTCAGTCTAACAAGATAAAAATCAATTAACAGCACTCCGTGCATCTGATGAAGTGGGTTCTAGCCCACGAAAGCTTATGCCCAAATAAATTCGTTAGTCTCTAAGGCGCCACAAGGACTCCTCATTGTTTTTGCTGATACAGACTAACATGGCTACTACTCTGAAATCTATAAATCCAGTGTCTTTACTAAGTATCTAGCAAGGTTATGAATTCAAACTCCCAGGCTCATCTTTTTTAAAGTGTTGTGCAGGTTGCTTTTCAGAATGAGGACTGATAAGTCAGGTATAGAGTGATCACTTTGTGTGTGTGTGGGGGTGGGGGGGGGG